AGTCGAGGTCGGGAAGTGTGCAGATCAGTAGTCAGGATGCATGAAGTGGAATTAATGGGTGGTTGTCGTCAATGGAGAGGCTTGAGCTCGCTGGTCTTCTTAAATAAGAGCAGCCCCAGTGTGGCTCATTTGGGAGGGCAAGGCTCCTTCCTTGTGTCCTCTGCCTTTGCTCTGCTCTCCTCTCTGCAGGGAGAGCCCTTGTGCTGGGAGGGGGTGACAGCTCCGGAGACTGGCGGCAGCTGTGCCTGCTGGTTACTGGACAGCCTCCCTCCTCTGAGCACCTGCTTAGACAACAGTTTGTCTGGTAACTCCAGAGCTGGCTGCTCATTGCAGGTCTCCTCTTCTGAATCTGAGCTCACCATGACACTATTCCTTTCCTCAGGGCCCTCCTCCCCTATAGTTCAAGGCCTGGGCTTGTGGGTATCCCTGATGGAAAAGGCGAGTAAGACAGGGAGCATGAACATTATTCACATCACCCCAGGAATGCTCCTCTGATCCATACCCCTTCCAGTCTTCCAAATACTGGAGGTATCCCCAGTGAAGATGGGATTTCAGGATGTGGGCCACCCCATATTCAGGTTCTCCATGAACATTGACAGTTGGTGGTGGAGGTGCCACAGACCAATGAGGGTTTACGCTGCTGCCAGAACCAAGAGGGAACGATGAAACCCAGGATGTACACAAATGTGGGGAGGTAATGTAATCCGAAAGGCCACTGGGTTGATAACAGCCTCTACAGGAAATGGGCCCAAGAAACAATGATCCAATTTACGCGATGGGCAAAGTGTAGAGAGATATTTGGTGGATAACCATCCTAAGTCCCTGATGGCTAAAGAAGGACACGATTGACCATGTTGACCCACAGATTGTTTGTAGTCTTCTTTAGCTTTTTCCAGTTGGTCTTGGAGAACTTGGTGGATCACCAATTCTTGCGCCAATTGATCAGCAGCTGGAACAGGAGAAGGTTTTCCAGGTACATTCTTGGCCTGATAGCAAGTAGGACAGAATGCAACATATTGACTTATGTCACTCTGAATGTGTGGCCACCAAAAATCCCTTAAATATAAGGTCTTAAAAAAACCAAAGTGGCCAGCTGCAAGGCCATCATGGCACAGTTATAAGATTATGCCACACAGTGAGCCTGCTGGTATATAGTAGCATCCACGGAAGCAACTTCCGGGGACAGCAATGACAAACTGAACACAACCAGATGGACAGAATACACAGAGAGATGGACAGCTTGGCATGGGGTGATGTTCTTGGAGGCATTGTAACATGATTCAAATGTGGCATGAGTGTTCCATTGGAGAGGAAGAGAACACAAGTATGTCATCAAGGTAAACTATAACATCTATCCAGGAGATCCCAGAACACGTCATTCATGAAGTGCATGAAGATCCTAGGAGCATTGGACAATCCAAACGGCATCACTGTTTCTTTTTCTGCACTTTTTAATAATTTTTTCCTTTTTTCCCCTTTTTATATATTTTTATTAGTTTTATCTGTATTAGTTTTATCTGTATATTAATCTTCAATAAAATTATTATTAAAAAAAGAGTTGAATTATGGGATGAAGAGTTTTATATTTGTTAACTAAGAGGAAGTGAAGAGAAATTGAAATCGTTTATACTTGTGATGAGGATGGGAAGTCGCTTTCTTCCTTTTTTTTCTTTCTTTTTTCTTTCTATTTTTTTCTCTTTTTGCTTTCTTGCACCTTTTATTCTTTCTATTTTTATTTTTAGCTTGTATTATCTTGTATTATTATACTTAAAACTTTTAATAAAAATATTATTTAAAAAATATCGGAAAATCCCCTGGAAGGAATAGAAACATTAATGGAAAAATTGAAAGAATTTGGTGAACTTGCTGGATTTAAAGTGATTTTTTAAAAAACTGAAAATGGTGAGTAAAAATATATGGATGGAGGACCCCCCCCCCTCCAAAAAAGATTGATAAAACTGGTTCTCAAATTGAAAAGAATGTAAAACATTTAGGTATTACTATGACCAATATGAATTCTATGTTGTACCAGATTAGCTATGTTAAATTGTGGAATGAAATTAAGACTTTGTTAAACTGAGAAAAGTTGAAATTATCATTGCTTGGTAGAATATCAGTGATAAAAATTAATATACTACCCAGAATAATATTTTTTATTCCAGACTATACCTATATTGAAAAATAATGGACAGACTGACAGATGGATGGACAGCAAACAGAGAGGTGGATAGACAGACTTTGCTTTGCCTTATTAAGATCTGCTTTGATAATCAATGAGGCAGGTTGCTCTGCATTGACAAATTGTGGAGGGAGGGGGATTTGTTCCCACCAATGGGGCTTCAGTTCAGGTGCTGCATGTTTTGTTCATCAGGATCTGAGGTGTAGATGTCAATCACACCTTAGGAGGTCCCTCAGTGAAAGCAATGACCCCCCCTCAAAGGTTTGGATAACTCTATCAAGGATTATCAAGTAGACTGAGTCCATTAAGAATTCTTCATCATTGGCAAAATCTTGATATCATCCTGGGTATCTTGACATTAAGATTACTATTTCATGTCTTTAAACCACTCTAGGCCCAGGCGCCTCCAAATATATGGACTTCAATTTCCAATATTCCTAGTAAGCATGACCATTTTTCAAAAGGCTGGGAGTTGAGGTCTATTTTTATTAAGACTATGTTCCTCAACCTAGTCAACCTAGTAGTCTCTGAATATATTAAGTTCCATTCCCAGTTTTGTTTTATTTTGTTTTTCCTCAATTTGGGGAATATTTGTAGGATTTATGAGAATACTTCCAACCATGTTGGGCATAATCATAGAAATTAGGGAAATAATTCCTACAATTCTGGAAGTTGTACTCCAATACATCTGCAAGGTATTGGGCTGAGAAATAGTGCATTTGATGGACAACTTGAATAGTATAAAACAACTATTTATCCCATATGATCCTGATAGCCTGTTAATCACAGGCCTAAAGTTCTCTTAACTTTTAATCAATGCAGTTCTTCTATGTACTCCAGTGAAGATTCTGCCTATCACAGTGAACACTGTTACAACTTTTTAAATTAACTTATGATTATCATACACTTGTCCCCTGCAATATTTTTTCAGTTCTAATATTTGAAGTAGCTAATCTACCTAAGTTTTAGTGTTTGAAATATCTAATCATTTTGTCATGATTTCCTTTGTATAATAAAAAAACATGCATGGAATGTAAGATGGCTTTTTAAATAAAATGGGAGCAAGCAAAGAATAAGAATTCAAGAGAGAAATGTGCATAGATTGCTCTCTTCTAGTAAGGCTAAAGTCAATAAATGCACAATAAGTTGAACTCAACTGATGAAAAATGAAACCATGTTGAAATATTGCTTGCAAACAGGCAGACTTGAAAATTGATTTTGTGAAAATTGATTTTGACACTGTGACAATGTCAAGGATTTAAATTAGAGAAATAAATTTCATCAATGGGGAAAAAGCCAAAGCTTTTGAGAACTCTTAACAGATGATTGTTCAACCATTCCTTGCAAACCTCCATCTCTTGCGGCAGCCAGTTCCATCAAACTGATTTTGGTCCCTTTCACACTACCTCCATTTTCCCTCCCCAAACCCTCAGAAACAATTTCAAACCAATTTAAGGTCTTCCTCCCTACCATTGAGTTTGAAAAAAAAATGGTGTTGTTCCCCCATTCCATGTTATGTTCAGTTTTAACTTTAAAACATTTGTGTGTTCACAATTGGGAATGGGGAGAACAGCCATCCTCTGCTCAATATATTAGCAGGGAAATGGTAATGCAAAGCTATAGGGCTTAATATATAGGAAGAGGGAAATGCTCAGGATCCAGTAGAAAGGATGAAACAACAGTTCCCACCAACAGGAAAAGGGCCTTCTCCTAGATCTGCAGAGCTCCAGAGCTTTTGCTGGAAAACTGGACTCAGGCATTTCTTGCTGAAACAAAAATAAATTGGCTCTCAGATTCCAAACACGGGCTGATGCGGTCAGTGCAAAAGTAGTAGAAACACCATCTGTGGAAATGCCCTCGCTTTCAAGAAGCACCTTCCTGTAACTTAATCGTAGCTGATCTAGCCCTGCCTTTTGGCCAACAGAGATCAAATTCTTGTCCTTTCCTATGTGATAATTCTTCAGGAAGAATGCCACCACGTTCAACTTTCATTCTGTTTGCCAGTTTGAACATATCCATATCTTTTCCCTAAGGCTTCTTTCCCATAGTCCTAACAATCTTCTGATCTTCTCCTGATCCATCCACATCTTTGTAAAGCACAGGACACAAAGCTGGACATAGTTCCAACTAAGATATGCTTAATAGGCAATTATGTGTAATTACTATTTATCCAGATATGGACACAATGAGATTATTCAATAGCTTTTTTTTTTTTTTTTGCAAAGGCATCCTTGTTCCTGCTCAGTTTATGATCTTCTACAACTCCAATATCATTTCACGTGTCCTGCTTCTTGGTCTAGGTTCTCCTCCTCCTCCCTGTGAAAGATAATGATTGTTTGGGGGTCATCAAGGACAACTTCACAGTTGGCTGAGATCAGATTATGGATATACTCTAACCACACAATGGATTTTCTAAACACTGGCTGGGACAGCTACAATCTTGGAGGCCACTGAATCCAGCCTTCTCTTCCTTCAAGAATCCCATTCAGGAATCCATCCCTTTTCTGCCCTTTGACTTGACTTCTTCATACATTTCTCTGCTGCCCAGAGTCTTCCCACTAGGGATACGTGTCCGGAAATCTCTTGTTCTGCGTAGGTTTCACCCGATCTTCCATACCCTGCCTGTCACGTCTCTGCCTCAACCGCATCTTTCATCTTTTCCTTTTCGTTTTTCACCCGCCCCCAAAAATCACCAGGCTCCGATTGTGCCCTTTGTGATTGGTTCCTGCCGGTTCGTTCATTCTTTCTTGATTGTCCTCTCCTTCTCGGGGGCGTGGTCAAGCATGGAACGCAGAGGCTGAGCGTTCCAGAACCGGATGGTCCTGCTTCCGAGGCTCCGCGCTGATTGGTTCGCCTCCGACACCAAGGGGAGGGCATGGAATGTTGGAGAGTTCGTGCGTTCCGAAGATACTTTCTCTCCTGTAACTTTTAGTCCTCTTGTCTTCTCGCCGCTGAGGGCGCAGAGGTCGCGATCCGAAGGAAAAGCAGCCATTGACCGTGCAGCTGTATTTGTATCTACTCCGAAGTAAGCGCCGTTGACTTCAATGGGTCCGGTTTCCAGCAGGGTCCAGTGGAGAGCCTAGAACTGCAGTTTCAGGGTACAAACGACCGCCTACTCCTCCCGGCTCCAGTGAGGGGCGTGGGGGAGGGGGGTCTTTGAACTCGCCTCTTGAGATCCCAGGGACCGAGGGGGATCGAAAGAGCGGCCGCCGCCGACTCGGTTTGGAGAGGAGCCAAGGAAGTCACAAGAAGGTATGTTGGGAATTGGGTTTGGCTCGCCCGCGATCTCCGCCCTGCGACGTTTTAGGAATGAAAACGCGCGCGAGTTACGGCCTTTTACGGGACTTTTATTCTAAGGGACTTTTTAAACTTTGCACAGCCGCTGCGAAGTTGGACTTGGGAAGAGGAGGAACGGATAAAAATTCAGTACATTCCAGTCCCGTCGCTCCCCCCCCCCCATATCGCGTGGGTGTCCGTCATCATCCGATACACTTCTTATTGGCAGCTACTGAAAAGTCGCAAGGTTTCCCTCCTTTCTTTAGAAAAGTAACAGAAATAACCGGGATGAGGCGACCTGAGGGGTTCTGTGCGCCCGCTTGTTCATACATGTACCAACACATCAGGTGATAGGCATTTGTGAGGGATGGAAGACGGTGCCCACCAAATATCTCTTGGCCATGAAGAATCACAAACCGACTGCTCTCTGTGAGAACTGTGTTTATTCAAAATGCTTGCATCTGATCTTAACATATTATATAGTAAGCCTTCCTTGGTTTTGAAGGGAGGTCTATTATTGTTTTAAATAAATAAATAGATAAATAAGAATCTCTAGGGCACTCTTGGCAACCATATGCCCTCCAGGTAGTTTGGACTACACCATCCGTCATTCCCAGCCCACACCCATCTAATGGCTGTCCTGGTTGAGTTTCAGGAGGGGGCTGAATGATAAGAGAAGAGAAACAGCTAAGTGATACCAAAAGCCACACAGTGAAGCCTCGGTATCTGAATGCAACTCTACATTCACATCAAGCATTCTTGCTATAGTACGGCTTTGGGTAAAAGATGAAATGAATCTACTGTATATTAGAGTTGCTTGAGTAAGTAACAGAATCTCAGACCTGAATATTCTAATCTCAGTCTAACTGAAGGGTAACAGCTTGGCACATCAGAAGATGGGACCTGCAAGAGAGACACTGTTGGAAATGAATTCCCATTCTGTTGGGTTGTTCCCTATCAGCAACCTGCAGATCTCAATTAAATGTGCTGATCAAAGCAAATGCCTCTTGCTTCAGTCTTTTATAGTTCCTCTCTCAGCAAATGTGGTGGACAGGGACAATAGCCTGGAGATGTAGCAGATTCAAAGCTGTCATTTTGGGAAGACCGCCAAACATTCATTCATAGACTGAATGCAAGTGGAGTCATATACAGTCAAAGATGCCTTTAAAAACTTTATATCCAAAAGCAAGCATTGCAGCCCAGCTATACATTAAAGAAAATCTAAAATTTGCCATTCAGTTAGAGCAGCATTTCTCAGCCTTGGCAATTTTGGGATTTCTGGGAGTCGAAGTCCAGACACCTTAAAGTTGCCAAGGTTGAGAAACACTGAGTTAGAGAATGAAATTAAACTGCATATGCAGTATAGGCTTGGCAGCACAGAATACTCTTGTCCATTTCAAGTTTAATGCTAAAGAGCCAGCCTGTTCTTTCCAAGGCAGTTTGGAAGTTGGGGTGCTGTTATTAAAGAGACCTTGTTCCGAATGTTTTTCCACCTAATTTCTCATTGTACTGGGGGATCACACTTATAGAAAAGGTTAATAGGTTACAAGGTAGGTCTTTAGATATCTTGGTCCCAAATCATGGAAGACAGTTTTCCCCATCCTGATGCTCCCTGCTGTTTTTAGTTTGTACTCCATAATTCCTAACTGTAGACAATGCTGGCTAGAAATTATGGGAATTGAAGTTTAGAGGACACCAGGTCAAGAATGAATGTTTTAGAGATTTGTAGATCAAAAGCAGAAACCTGAGTTGTACCTAGTGACTTCTCAGAAACCAGTGATGTTGATCTCAAAGCAGACTTCCAATGAAAGTTCCACTGGACTTTTTGTTATAGCTGTGATTTATAGACATTTTTAAGGGCAGCTTCATATAGTTATGCTCAAAAGAAAATTTAGTATATTTTGTCCACAAGTTACCTTGGAGAAAATTATCCAAGAACACATTAATCACAGCATTCAGACCTCTTCCTGTCATGGAAAGTGATTTTAACACGATCTCAACTGGAGAGCCAACTTTTTACACAGCTGGATTTCTCTGCCTTTCACAACAGCCTGAGTCACACAAAGATGTGTTTCTACATCTAACCTTTCCACCAGGCCACTTCATACCTAAGTGCCAGACTGCTGTTTTAAAGGCATGGAGCATCCTCAGCAAAACAGGAAGGAGTGTAACAAGTAGTGAAGCCTTCAGCAACCACCCTGTTGAGGTTGAGGATTAATCTGAGGATTAATGGGTATATTGTGAACTAGAGAGCTTGCTTTGTCAGATGCATTCTTCTGTTGGCAGAGAGACGCCAGTAACAAGAGAGTGGGATGAGGATGGCATGCAAGGGTTGGATTGACTATGAAATGAAAAAGTGTCAGCTGATGGAAGACGGACAGAGTAATGGGTTTTTCATAATCCTGACATGGAGGGGGTTAAGGCATGCCTCAGCCTTAAGAATGAGTAAAAGCAGCTTTTCTGCTCGATTTAGAGTTATGAACCTCCATTTTTCCCCCTCTAATGTCCCCATTATTTTGAAATAACGGCAGAGCGTGGCACAAATAGATAGGTCTCAGCAGAAAGGAGTTTCATAAGAAGGTTTTGCAGCATTCTCCTTTTTTGCAGCTTTTATCTCTGATGAGCCACAAATTATTTGCAGAGGCTGACATTTGGGAACCCAGTGGCTCCCCTCTGTTGTGACAGAAAGCTCCAGAGAAATGCCTCTTTAGGGACAAATCTAGTTGTAAACCTTTTTCCGGTGACTCTGTTTTAGTCCTGCGTGGCTCATGAAGAGTTTCTTCAGAAGCTAGTGGAATTGCAGAGCAGAGAGAAAGGAATTCCTCTCCCAGAGGGAAGGTGGAGTGATAGATACTCTTAGTCATCGGCCCAAGTAACATGCATAGACAATTTAAGCCAGGGTTCCATTTCTTGACTCATCAGATCTCTGAACTAATATCACACCACCCTTTTCTCTGGAATTCCACCCAGAGGCATTCACACACACAATTTGGTGCTGTGTGCCATGCATGAAACTCAGCACTCTTGGAATGTTGAGGTTCCCTTCGTTTTTACAGCTTGGTGGTAAATCAGCACCTCAACAAAGATAATGCGCTTCTGCAGAGAGAATGTGGTTGTGGGAACTGGCATGGGTGGAGAACTCTGCACTAGACTATGTTTTGAATTGCAGTAGGATTCCCTACATGTCTGTTTGGAAGCAGATCCCATTGAGTTCAGTGGGACCTGCTCTTAAATAAGTGGGTATGATGTTGTAGCCTTACATAATAGGCCAGATTACCTTAGTAGAGAAGATCAACATTTAGAAGTACTATTCCTTCCAAAGTATATCTACGTACTATGCTTTAAAACAATACAGCACTATTGGGCAGTGGTAGGGTACCAATGTCTCAGGTTTTATTTGTTTTGTATAGAGATGTGGTCACAATATCACATGGTCACCTCTCCTTTTGGATAAGGAGCTATGGAGAATCTCCGTCTGTGGCCTTTGCTGGAAGGCCTTGGAGCATATCAGCACTGTTACCATTAAAAGAATATGCTATGTTGTTTTCTTTTTTGTAAGATCAGACACGCTCCACCAAAGCCACTCAGCCCTTGCCATCAATCCTTATTCCCAGATGAAGGACGTCAGCTTTAAGATTTTAAAACTTGGCTGGAGCCCTTCAAAGAGGCATTTTGTAGCCCATCATTCCTGTGGCTGCAAGAGAAGGAAAATTGAGTTTTCTCTCCCAGGGCTAGATGTATTTAAAAATATCCACAAAGCTAGTTTCTTCTGTTTGTTGAAGTCTTCTGTGACAATGATGCCTGTCAAATGCGTTGGACTTCATACATGCTGGCTAGGATTTTAGGAGTACAGGTAGTCCCTGGGTTACAGATGACCCATAGTTAAGAATGGAGCCTATTGTAGCAAAATTTCAGTTAAATACACAATGGTTTGAGTTCATTATACAATACTACTTATACAATAATATTGTTCTGGCTTATGTGCAAATTTGGCTTAAGGACAGACCTTGGGAATGGAACTTGTTTTTAAACTGGGAGCTACCTGTAGTAGTTCAGCACTTCTGGAGAGTTACTGGATCAGGAAAGGCTAGGAACTTGTAAGGTCCTTGATCCTCAACCAGATTACCAACTTTTAATTGCTGTATTCACATATTATGCAAGGCCCAAACATGTAAACCATAGCAGACATAAGATGGCCTTGTTCATTGCTGGTTTCCCACAATATGAACTAATTAACTCCATTTTCACCTATTGCACAAACTCAACCATTGAGTAAGCAGGGCACTGTGAGTATGAAAAAGATCCAGCTAGAGTTTTAACACATCACTCAGCCAACTGCCATTTCATGCTCATTTTGCATGTTTCCTGTAGCATTGCTAGTAATGCCATTCTGTACATATCTATTCATATCCTATCGAGGTTGGGGAGCTTTATCTGCAGATAAGGAGTTGCAAGTTTGCAACTGGAATAGAACAAAATAATAATCTGAGTCTGAGTTACAAAAATGCAATCCTTTAGAATTCCCTTTTAACATACTGGGTTCATTCATCCAAAGGTCAGCCTATTAATGAAATCCAAAGAATACATAATATTCAGACAGAGGAAAAATGCCCATTCAAATTCCATTTGCTTGCCTAGCCATCATTAGTAGATTCCAGGTCATATATTATGACAGCAATCCCTGATTTGGCACCCTCCACTCGAGATGCCAAATCCAAGCAGTGCAGACTATCCAGAGCAAGATATCATGGAGTTGGAAATCAAGCCATGCCCCAAAAGATACATCTTTGATCTCAGGAATCTGACCTGGCTAATTCTCATGGAAGGAACCTAAACAGAAAATTCTTTAAAATTCTGTACAAACGTATTGAGCAGACAGTGAACATGGGCCACACTGGACACCACCATTCCCCCCAAGACACATACATACCCACATACCCATATTAAATATGAGTTGTGGATATGGGTAGCCCAGATACTTCCAGAGCATAGCTACGTCTCTGCCACCCCCCTCCCCCCAGGAGAAATGGAGACCATGATTCAATCACAATCAACAGGGATCATAAGGGAAAATTGGTATTTGGGTGGAACCATGGACAGAAGCCCAGGTTAAAGTTTGGGGAGGCAGGTATTTAGGGCTTCGAAGTCTACGCAGCTTTGGAACCCAGCCCTACATTTGAAACATTGCACTGCATAATGATTTGCTTTCACACTGCTTTCTTGAATAAGCCATAAAGGCTTAACAAGCTAATCAGGCTTTCTCAACCAGGCAGTTGCGGAATTCATCCAGCAGAATTCTTAGGGGTTGTAGAAGCTGAAATCCACAGAGCCAAAGGATGCTGGCATGGGGAAAGCTACACTAAGCCACAGCTACATAAACCACAATAAGGCTCATGTGCAATGTATTATTTTTCTTTCTTTCTGTTTTTGGCTGCAAAAATATGTCTTCCTCTTTTACTTTCACAGCACTCCGTGCAGTCTTTGTCTTCTCCCCAGACTCAGAGAGGCTACAATTATTGCAAAAGAAAACATTTCTTATGAAATGTTTTAAAACCATGCTTTTGGTGTGGCTAGAATGGTAACAACAGTTCCCTGAATTTTACTCAATAAATCAATATGGTGAAAGCTGAAGGAAGCCCCAGTTGAAGAGGGTAGCATTATTTCTAAGTAAGGACATGCAGGATTTCGGTTGTGAAAGTACCTCTTTTAGTATTTCAAGATCTGTGCAGCAGTTCAAGGCAAAAAACTGGTGCTCTGTTTTAAAGCTATGGTTTCCAGAAATTTAAATGAAGGCTGAAGTCTTTGTAAAGCAGTATTTTGGGAGGAAAATCATTGCCTGTCTGTAATTTAAGAGCTGGAATGTTTAAGTCAGTTCCTGCAAATGATTTCCAGAAGGCAAATAAAATGATATCTGCTCTGGCTCCTAAATCCTATTTACAAAATGTCTTTCTTTCACCAAAAAAAAAGTGCTTTTCTTCACCCCGTTCCTAATCTTCTTGGCTTGTTTGTTGTTTTCTTCCTTTTCTAAACTTGCCAGTATATCCCCTTGTTAAAAATATCACCTGATTTTTGTTTGTCTACGCTGTGGAAGCTAAGGGTTTTTGCAGGTTTCGGGGCAATCTCCTGTGTAAACAGTTCCATTGGGATGAGTTTTCAATTTAATCTTTTACCCACTTCTTTGGTGCAAATGAAATTACAACATTAATTTAGGGTTGTGCAACTTTCAGCTTTGGAGCTACATTCCCAAAGGAGGACAAAGTCAGAACAAAAATTAAATCAAAACTCAATCTAACTTTAAAAGTAAATTAAAGTTAATTAAATAAATTAACTTTAAAGTAACTTTAATTAAATATTGTTAATATGTCACTTCCCTACATATTCAGCACATTCCTTTTTTGTCAGATTAAAACCTGCCATTAGTGGCCACTGTTGGAAGAACTCTGAGGGCTTCACCCAAGTTTTGAGGGGCTGTCTCTGGCACTGGGCCCCCAATCTGCCAGTGACAACTTTCCACAGGTTTACTTCTATCCACTGTGAATGTCATCAGCTAGAAGGTCCTTCTTTGTTTAAGTCTTCAGAGTCGCCTTTTCCAACTTGGTGCCTTTCACATGCTTTCATGTTTTGGATTGCAGTTCCCATCATCTGCAGTAATTGTCTCTGGTGAGTGGGAGTGAAAGACCACACATCTGGAAAGCTTCAAGGTGAGAAAAGCTGTCCAAACTGCTTACTGTGCATTAGAGCATTCTACAGAAGAGAACCATGTAACTTATCACTCCCTTGAATCAGTCCCTTTCATGTGATGAAAGGTTGTTGGAAACCTCTTGGCAAAACCCATCAGGAAAAGCTCTCTTTAAGGATTATGAAAGGTTGGCTGCGTTTTACAAGTGTACATTCCTACTTCAAATGGGCCGAGAGGTTAGAGGTGCTGTCGTTTTTTCCCTCCTGCTGGAGTGTGTAAAAATCATTATCGCTGTTAACAGAGAGAGTAGAAGAAAGGCTCAGCAAGCTTTATTTTATTTGGGTCTCCTTAAACAAAAATGATTCTACTAGCTGAGCAAAGGGAAACCAATCAGTTCTTAACACAAACTGGTCCTCAAAGCTGCATGACATTGGGGTTTTGGATGACCGCATATTATTAAGATACCTACGGTCCTTCATGTGTACCTCATAAAAGACGTGGCCTCTTTTCTGCTTACCTCTAATGAGCTGGAGGAAAGATAGGATCAATGATGGGGGGATGTCTTTTTTTCCTTTGTATTGTTGTTGCAAACTTTGAGTTCTTATCCTCCCCGTTTACCTGTTTCAGGTTGTTTAAAAATGGTCATTCTGAGGATTGCCACCAAAACAGGATGTACCACAAAACATCTCTGTAGGATAAAATGATGGTGGGACTGCTTTGCTTGGATCCACCATCCACCGAGGTTCTAATTTGTGACTGATGGGAATTCTCTTTATAGCATAGACATAGCTTCCTTCTGCCCCTAGTGTTCACAGGCTAAGTGTGTTGAAGCATGGTGTGTATTGTGTGGTGTGGGCATGATTGGGTAAATATAACTACGTTTGTGGCCTTCTTTAGTTCCATTTCCAAAAAATGGCTCTTTTGTGCCAAATTGTCTATCTTGAAAAGTTAGGAAAATTAAGAAACTTTCATCCAATGTAATGAGAGCTAATTCTAATGAATGCCAAATCTGTTACAGTTCAAGACTTATCACTGCAAATACATTTCTATCCTCCATGAGAAAAGTAGTAGCTGGCTGACATACGCTTGTGAAACGGATATAACAAACCACAACATTAAGATTATGCTGTACTCTTTTCCTTTGTTAGAACCTGTTTTGTTTCATATTTTCTTACGATGCATGATATCCCTACTATATACTTACCACTTAGTTATATAATATTCCCAAAAGTCTCTCTTTGTTTTAATGCTTATTTACACATTCATGGCAGACAAGAAACGTGCCCAAATATGACCTCGGTATTTCTTTGAGAATGACAAGTTATATTAGCAATTGTGTTTGTTCCTGGAAGAAGAATATGGGAACATTCTTTGTGAACTTCAATTTACCTTTGTTCATGAGGAAATGACTCATTTTTTCCATATTTAAGAGTGTTATGTTTAAGACCAGTGTTGTTAAGCAATGTTTAAACAAACCAAATGTGGCATATAAGTCATTTGACCTTTCATAATGGACTACCTAATGAAGTTTGCTGAGGTTCTGAGAACTAACCCATGGAACAATCCTTTGTAGATGGTCCCATTTTAGAATGCTTTTATTGGGGAAGGGTGAATCTTTGAATGAACCCCCTTTTTAAAAACAACAAACCTCCCTTATACCAGAAGGAAAGTAGAGTTATGTCTCTTTTCTGACTTTCTGTCTGTGCTGGACATTCTTGAATCACAGGAGACCCTGGAGTCCTCCATCTGCAGATGAGGAAGAAAAATACCAAAAGATATTTCCAAGCATGTAGATTTGTTCTGTATAGATTTTGTTCATGTCTTAACTGTAAAATTACGCTCAAAGGGATGATTCAGGAAAGAGTTTCAGTATTGTATACTACAAAAGCAGGTTGCTTTTTGAAATCTTTGGTCTTGCCCATGGTAAAATTGGCCTTTGAGATAGGTGGGTTTGTTTTTCATGGTTTGATGGCACTGTAGAACAAAGGACCTTTGTCTTGACGTTTACTGTTTGGGGTTTTGCTCCTTTACTGCAGGTGACTTCTCAACATGGTAGACTATCTGGCTAATACTGAAATTAACAGTCAACGGATTGCTGCAGTGGAAAGCTGCTTTGGGACATCAGGCCAGCCCTTAGCTGTGCCAGGAAGGGTCCTTTTGGGTGAAGGGATTTTGACCAAAGAATGCCGTAAGAAAGCCAAGCCGCGAATTTTCTTCCTTTTCAATGATATCCTTGTGTATGGCAGCATTGTGATCAGCAAACGGAAGTACAGCTCCCAGCACATCATCCCTTTGGATGAAGTCACTTTGGAGATGCTGCCAGATACCTTGCAAATGAAGAACCGCTGGATGATCAAAACCTCCAAGAAGTCCTTTGTTGTTTCGGCAGCATCACTGACTGAGCGTAAAGAGTGGGTCAGTCACCTGGAGGAATGCATTCGCCATCTTTTGTCCAAAACGGGGCAGCAGCCCCCAACTGAATATGCAGCCCCCTGGATTCCAGACAAGGCAACCGATATCTGCATGCGTTGCACCCATACCAAGTTCTCTGCTCTCATCCGAAGACACCATTGTCGAAAGTGTGGCTTTGTGGTATGTGGAGACTGTTCTCGTCAGCGCTTTCTCATGCCTCGGCTGTCCTCAAAGCCTTTGAGGGTTTGCAATCTTTGCTACAAACAGCTGATGGCCAAAAAGAACGAACCTGGAGATGAGCCGAAGCCAGTTAATTCTCCGCTGACTGGCTATGAAGTTTCTAGTGGGGATGATAGTGACAGGTCTGATGAAGACAAACTCGAACAGTGGCCTGCAGAGACAGAGTTTTACACCTCAGATATGAGCTGGTCATCTTTCCACAGTTGATTGCTCCCTGGACTTGTTCGTTTTAAATGCTATCATAGTTTTAAAAATGACAGAGAATACACACAGGCTTTTATGGACCAGTGAGAGAAATAACTTTGTACTCCATTCCATGTGTTTTCTGTTCTATAAATAAGGGAGAAGAAATGTCCTCAGGCTAATATGTAAACATTTGCTTGTGTCCTCTAAGACTGAGTCATTCTTCTTGGAGCTCAAAATGGGATTAAAAATATATGTGGACCATTTCTGATAATGTTGGTCCTCTATATTTAATTTTGGAAGTAGTCATCATCTACACTCATCAAATTTTGAATTTCAGTCTTGGGAATTCAACTGAACTGTATGTAAGAATGTCCCCAAGTTGTGTCTACTGAAGAAATCCAACTTTTATAAAACCAAAGGACAAGGTCTGGGAATCCAGAAATCAAAACAATAGCCTCCAGAAAGTCATTTCAGTGTTGCAAATTGAGGGTACTTTTAATCAAGCACTAAATGGAAGTTGTTTAATGAAATTCATAACAGTATTACATTTCAAAAACTGAGCTGTTTATTGAACTTTTTTGGATCAGCTTGAGGTGGACAGGAAGAATTAAAAACTGACATTGCTTTGACTACTTACTTTTGAGTAATATAAAAACAAAAGATTGGGGATCTGGATGTAGATATTTGGGGCCCTTTTCTAAGTTATGTTCACAGAGCCCATGATATTGTGGTTTGTTTAATGAACGTTTCACTTAGTGTGTTATCTGAATCCAACCAGTAAACCACATTAAGTAAACCATAGCTTAGTGCAATTTAGGAGTACAACTAGTGACTTGTTTGTGATAAGCAGAGAATGTTCATGACTAATGATCTTTTATCACATGAAGGAGATATGTCTTAGAACACTAAAAAAGAAAAAAAAAGTTGGATAAACAGAAACCTGACTGGTAGGCAGTATTGAATTATATTGATGGGGAAGAGCCAGTTATTTTTAATAAGCAGAGTGTATTCTAAATTATGCTTTTAACATATGCTACGTCCTGATACAATTGTACCTCTTTTAATAGAGTTGTCTTTAAAAAAAACATATTCTCTACATGCTGTAGATATGGACTTTAATGCTAAGAGATAGCCCACAGATTATATTTGTATTAGCTTGCTTCTAAAACCCTTAATTCTGCTGATCCTTTGAAAGCACTTTCGCCCTTTCCAAATTGCAGAGAAATATCAGATGTGGATAACCAAAGTAGAAATAGCTTTGACCATCTAAGGTGAAGCTCAAAGGAAACAGAGACCTCAGATTAGTTAACAAGTATAGTGGGCACTCCATAACCACTGGTTGTCACCATCTTTCTCATCTTTGGAGCACATTTGGTCTCCTGGCTCTCTTGGCAACACCAGAGGGCAAAACTATACTCCCCACTTTTTTGAAAAAGAGAAAGAGCAAGAGACTGCAAGCTGCATAAAAGTGCCTGACTGAGCCTCCTCCCCCCACCTCCCCAGCCCCACATAAGCACAGAAGTCCTGGTCCATGCAATCATTCTGCAGTATAACAAGAATGAGTTATAGCAAGCCATGGGTTCACCCCTCTTTTGGTCTTTCTCCTCCCATTAACCATGGTTCAAGGTTAACAGCTCTTTGCCTCATTTCAGAGAGTTTTGCAAGCTGCTGATGATCTAAAAGAGAGGTTACTGACCTTCCTCTGCAGCTATATTAAGAGGAGGGGGCAGGAGATGAAGGCTTACTGCCGGAGTTCAAACATTGCATTAAGCCATAACATGATTTGTCTCATCTCAATGTAATACCATGTGCAGCTGAGGTCAGCAAAGAAACCAGGATCTGCTTTAGGACATTAAGCCACAATTTTTTGGCTTACTAAATGCAAATGTAGTATATTATGATGTATAAATGCAGAGCCCTTGGACAGAGTGACCGGGATTCTTCATGTACAAGACTGGTTCTAGGGTGTTTCGGGGTTGCCAAGCATACCATGTGTAAACAAAGATGGCTTATTGTGATATAGGAATGTAACCAGGAGACTTCATCTTAATGTAAAATCATAGCACAGTATTTTATGCAAATATAGTCATGCAGTGAGCTGATTCACATATAACACTAAGCCATAGTATAGTTTGTTTCTTCGTTTTTTGGCTTGGGGTAATACATGAAATAGTCGTGTTTCTGTTAAGGAACATGGTTTCTGGAGCAAATGGCTAGGTTTTGAAGGCAGGCTTGAACATCTGGCTTTCTCTGTTTAGAAATTAAGCATTGCTTTTACCTCATAGGCTTTGAGAAATGTTAAAAACATCTTTACAGCTTGCTTTTTTCCAGTTCTTGCTTCTTGGAATACTTTTAAAAATACATTACCATATACGTCAGCACTTTACTGCTGGAAACCATTAAAAAGCAACTCATTTTAAATTAATATTTTAAATTAACTAGCATAAGTCTTAATGATGCTAATGAATAACTTTGATATTAGTAGCATCTTCTTTTTTGTACTCTTGATAATTTTTCCATAGGGAGAGAAAAGTGGGGTTTTTTTTTTAATCGTTTTGTTTTCCACCTCCCTAATAAGTTTACATTAAATCCATTTTCTTTTGTCACCCCCCCTTAAAAATAATTGATTAATTTCCTGTTAAATATCATTGCAATTTACATGTTGGAACTCTGCATGAAGTTGATATATGTCTTGATGGGAAGAAGACAGCCTGAATTGGCCTCCCTCAAACTCTGTTTCCTTCAGAGATCCAGCCTCTGTCACTCATCTTCCTGTACCCCAAGTTCTCCTGCAGATTCGTACAAGTGCCACAACTATTCTTAGACACTCAGGGCTCCACAGCACAGAGGTCAGACACCCAGATATTGCATTAACAAGCTCCTAGATTCTATGGTTATGTTCATACAACACCATTGATATGCCCAAGATATTTGGGCCATATACAAAGCAGATGGGTGAAGATGAGTTAAGTTCCCAGACTGTGTGGCTGTGTTCACACCACACTGTAACTCTTTCACTGAATTCATCCATTTCCTGGCATTGCACAATATAATTAAACCAAAACTTAAATGGATGGGCTAAGTCCACTCAGCACCTTAAACCACAGAAAACTAGCCAAGGCTAAAATTAACCAAGCTTTATACATTAAGCAAAAGCAGATGCTAAATCTGTAATCTGGTTCAGTATGTTGTCTGAACACATCTCTGAAATTTCCCAGGTAAGTCTCGCTGATGCAAGAGATCAACTTGGCGATGTGTTTCTTCATCACAGGGGGCAGGACTAGACTGACTGGAGCAAGGGGCTGGGTACCAAACGGGAGTACCAGTTACTTCAATCATTTGCTGGATTCTTCCTATCTTAGACTGTGCTGTCCTGTTAGATAAAGGACGCAGTTGCTCAGTGGAATAAGTCATGGTACAGTGGAAGATGTACCATGGAAGCTTCATTTTCAAGGAACCGTATGTAGAAGGAAACCATTTGCTTCACTCTCAGTGAGCTTTTCCCCAGATCCTGTCAATTTCCTCCAGTGTCATTTGCAAGGAAGGGATACAATCCCCCCACTGTCATTACAAAGCAAGGAAGATGATGGGGTGTAGGATACCTGTAGCATAAGAACTGCTAACAGCAAGGATTTAATCCCCAGATCACATCCAGCATCCTGACAGAACGGGAATCAGTTTCTCATAGCTGCTCCTTGCATGCTCCAGTTCTCTAAACTAGCCTTTCCAGTCAGGTACCCTTCAAATATCTTGGACTTTACCAACAGATTCCCTGGTAAGTGTTTCCAAATCATAAGGCGAGAACTCTAAACAAAGATAAATTAAAACAGACCAGCCTCCCTTTTTCTGATGTTGAAATATGTTTTTTTCCAACTAAGTCTATTGGGGGAAAAAATGGAATTTTAATTAGGAACAGAATATCCTGTTCCAGTTGCAACAGTATTTCCTATGAACTCACCAATAAAAGCTGGACTAAAAACACTTCTGGTGTTTTGTTTTTTTGCCCCCCCCAAAAAAAACCTGGCCCAAAATGAATAGCGTTAATATTTTTTATAGCACTTCATATATGGATGTAGTGGAAATAGGAATGATTTGCAAGGATACAAAGGTATGGAGAGTTATAGTGAAAAACAGACATTGTTGAGATTTTCCTATCGCTATATCACAGGGAGGGGGAACAGCAGTGGGTGACATTTAACCCCAAGGCCCACTATCTGAGGTCATATACTACATTAAACTATAATATATTTTATCAGTCTTTCATTTAGTCTGATGCACCACCAAGGTCAGTAGACAAATCATGACCCTAAACCACAATTTAGAGTTTGTTTTTAATTTCCCTCTCCTTTGACTCAAAACAAATAGCAAGAATAATCTTTCTGGTACTTGGTTTCCAGGAGTTGCACAAGTTGTTGCCCTTGAATCTCAACCAAAGGTGTCAACAACTGGAAACCCCAAAGTTAGATCCAACTCCACGGAGGCTATGAAGCCTCTCAAGTCTATTGCTTAGAAATGGGTCAGAGGGAAGCTCTATTACCTCACACTCTTCTGCCTGCCAGATATTTCAGGGTTATTGTCTGAGTTCTTGCTGCTGATTTTTTTTTTTTTTAATGAAGTTTCTGGCCCTCTGCATGCAGTGACTGACAAAATACAGTTCAGGACTCAAAGTGGCTTACATTTGTCTCCGTCACCCAATCTTTTGGCCAGTATGTGCAAACACTTGGAAGTGCCTTTACAATCTGCAGCCATTTCCTTCTGTGCAAATAACAAGAAACAGAAACTTCATTTTAGAACAAAAACAAAGCATTGTGTTCAGAAAACACACACACATGCACACACACATGCATATTCCTAGGACGGGGGAGGGTAAATGCACAAAACCTGGGCAATGCACCACTTTTGCAAAATCTGGCATTCCCTTATTTAATGCAAGATACAACTGTCTCTCTCAGAAACTTATTCAGCTGCCTGTATTTTGCAATGCTGCTTTATGTGCCCCCCTGTGCCAGACCATATATTCTCATTCCTATCTTCAAGGGGTCTGAGTAGGACAACTAGTGACAGTCCATGGTAGGTCTTGACCAGAAGTAGTCAGTTGGATAGCACTGCCTCAAGGATTTGTCTTGCATCTCAAAGTCTAAGGTTCCTTAAGATTTTCATCAATTACTTACATATTTTGGCCAAAGAGCTGTTGTTGTTGTCAATGAATTCAGCTTAAAAGAGCCGCCTTGTCCATTTTATTAGTCATTAAGCTCAACTCAGTGAGCTTCCTTCCCTTTAGCCCAGCCATCCTCCACCTGATACCACCCTGGTTGGGATGTCTGAAGGCCACAATCTCAACACCTTTGGAAGATGCCAGGTTGGACTTGTATATGAACTAAGTAGCCAAATAAATAAATGTGAGAAGAAAGGTGTTGGTGGCAGTGGGGCATAAAATCAAGCAGACAGAAGCATCACCATCTGCCAATGAACGCTTCAACTTCATCCTATCTCATCCAAAGCCCCACCAGGTTCATAGCTGATGCTAGAACAGATGGAGGCCTGATACAAATGCCTCCCTTTCTCTCTGCTCAGCCGTCCTCAGCTGTTTGCTAAAACTGCAAGCCCTGCGTTCTTGGGTTGCTAAGGCAACACCTATGTTCCTGGTGCTGACATGGCAGATCTGATAGGGGAGTCACTCTCTTAAGCAGCCACAGAGCCACATGCCATGTTTCCAAGCAGCTCACCTGCTAGTTGGCCAGGCTCCCCGAAACCTTTAAGAAAATCACATTATCCCATGGCAAAATATGTGAACCCACCATGGCCAGATTCTGCATCAAGTAGCATGTTGCATGAATCAAGCCAATTGTAGTTTACTTAATAACCCACAATTAAACAGACCACGTCTTAGTGTGGCCTATAAACCTGGCCTTTAAATTTCATGTGAGGTGAACCAATGTGTTTTTATCTGGATCAATCCTTGACTGCTATGCAAATATGTTTTTAGGAAGGTAATACCACTGAAACAGAAAAAACAGTTTTATTAGAATCAAAATGAGTTTATTAGAATGCTGCTAATGTGATTACAAATACTACTTTTTTATTGGCTTATTTACAAATGGTTACCTTAACGACTGCAATTGGGACCGATAACTCTGTCACTAAGCAACACAGTTGTTAAGCAAGACAGCAAGACAGCAAGACATCATGTGACTGCACCAGGCTTACAACATTAGTGACCATGACTTACTGCTGGCTTTCTCATTGACTTTGCTTGTTGGAAGCTAGCAAATGGCAATCACATGACTGTGGGACACTGCAACAGTCGTAAGTTTGAGGATCAGTTGTAAAGCTACTTATTCAGCACCATTGTAAGTTTGAATGGTGGTTAAACAGGACAGTTGTTAACCAAGAACTACCTGTATAATCATATTTCACAATAGATTTTGAAAGTAGCCTTTAGTGAAACATAAAAATCTTCTGGACAAAGTAAACCTTCCCAGATATCATCTATTACCCAATAGCGTTACCAACAAGCTTCCTAGAAGAACATAACAGAAATGCACCAGTTATTGAACATGAAGCTTTTCATCTTTACAGCTGTCTGGCAACTGTACCATTACTTATTCTATCAAATGCATTCATAAATAGCATCCTTTGTCTAACAGGGTGGTATACTCTAACATAGGCAGAATCCAGCAAATGATTTAGGTAACTGGTGCCTAAACCATCTTGCAAACAGTTGCCCAACAGAAACAAGTGACTATTTAGAGATGCATGAACCCAAAGTTTTTGATGCAGAGGAAGATCCGAGTACAGTACATAGACCTTGGCTCTGAGATAGTTTGTCCACTTATTCATTGTATTTTCATCTGTGGCATTCTACATGTTTAAAGTTTTAGGATAAAGAAGTTTCAAAGTGAATATGATTTTTTTTTAAGGGCCTGTAGGATGCAGCAGTAGATTTGTGCATGGGGCTGAAAATGTTACGGAAATGAATGAGACCAGTGAAGGATTTGCTTAAAACAAAGCAACTTACTTGAAAAGAATATCTTAAATTAACTAACATAAGCCTTAATTATGATAGGGAACAACATCACTGTTGACACTATCTTGTTTTTTGTAGGAGAAAAAAAATGCTACTAGGTAATGCAGTCTGTGTTCTAATTTAATTTGCCGCTTCACCAATATCTTTATATTAATGCTCCTGACACATCCATGCAGACTTCTACTCCAGCACTCTGTACTAACCCTGTGCTAAGCTCGGCTGATAAAGGGTTGGGAATAGATGATTATTTACATTCTCATAGGATCCAGTTCTCATTAGGAGAAGGAGGGGTGGGTGATACAGAGTTGGCAAAAGGGGACATCTTAAAACACCCAGGAGGACAATGGGAGGTGATAACTGGCATCTAAAATGGCCTTAGACAATTCCAGTGGTTGTTAAAAATGAATTGTTGGTTTTAATCCAGAGAAAGGCAGGCTAGTAATGATGCTAAAATGATCTGGGCACTGTTTGCACTGCTGGAGGCTGATTAGCTCACGAGGGGTCCAAATCCATGAAATATTTAAGGGCACAATTCAGGAGAAGGGCGCTGATGAGGAAAAGCATCAGTAGACCTTATCTATTCATCACAAGGACATTCTGGTGGTGCTGAAAGGAATAAAAGATAAGCAAAAGGCACTGATGAGGTTACCTAGTCAGGTAATGAAATGTCTGCAAGCAAACCACCAAGCTCAGAGAGCACCAAGGACTCCACAATAAGCAAAAGATTTTGCTGGTGGTGTCAAAGGATCCGCAGGAAAATGAAGATGAGCTCATCTGACTGAGAGGAAAACTTGGCACTAGTTTCTGTAAGCCTTTCCAGCTCTAGAATTGGGAAGTATCTGTTGGGGTAGAATTAGAATAGCACAAATGTATATTGAACTCACATCATAGCTGGTTAATATTTGTATGCTTAGCTTTTGTATTTTTACAACAGGCTGCTGGAATGTAGAATGGGAACAGGAAGGGTTGTTCTCTGTACAATGTAAAGAAACTGGTGGGTTATAAATCATATTTGACTAAAACCAACTTGGCTTTTTTGGTCTTTTATCAGAATAGAAGTGGGCTCAGGGAATGGAATGCTGTTCCGCACCTTGTCTTTCAGTCAAATCCTCAGATACCTACATACCTCATAACAGTCTTTTGCAATTTTGCTACATTAGGCTCCCTGTTTAACTATGGGTCATTCTTAAACCAGGCGTTCTTAACCCAGGAACTACCTACCTGTACCACCCTTTGCATAAATATCACTTTTAGTTTTACTAAAATCTGTCAGAGTGATTCATTGCAACTTCACCTAAATTTTGGACACTTCTCTTTTAAGCTTGTCTGCTAGCCCTGGTTTTCTGTTTATTTTTACCCCCAGCCTTATCTGTGACTAACACTGAGCAAGAAGTGAATTCAAACTCTAATTCTTGAAGGTTTTACTGGTGACGCTGTGAGATATTGCCTTTTCTCTCCCCCTTCTCTCTGGGTTGCTGGAAGACTAAACAAAGAGTGGGAAAAGCTAACTCCTCTGGTTTGAGCTCCTTGGAGAAAAATGTGTGTATGTTCAAGTGAAATCAGAAATTAAGAGGCATGCATTACTCTAATTTCTCTAAGACCCCGGCCCTGCCTCTTTAACCAATTTATTCTGAAACTGAAAGAGCAGAAGATTTTTCAGCAATTTGCTGGGGGTAAACGTTTTCAGGAACCCCATGATTCTTCCTTGCAAAGTTTGGGATGATTTCATTTTTTGTCTCTTCCTCATTTTAGCCATGCTCGTAAACCACCCTGAGAGATATTTTAAAAAGTTAACAGCAGTTATGCAGTGAAATGTATGTACTTGAGTTCTCAACTTGGAAAAATATATTGTTATGATTTTTAAATAAAAATTTGAATCTTCTACAGTGGCTCCCTGTTTATTTTTACATATAACAAAGATGAGACTTGCTTGTATAGAGACGGCCGATCGGTG